TGACTCTTGGAAATATACTCTTAATCACTGTCATTTGACACCAGTAAGGGATTTAAATAATGACCAGTGCCAGATCTATCTTGTAGAAACATCTAAAGGATGCAGGACTTTTTATGATAAACCTATTTCCAATGGTATGCACCCAAATATTTGTAATAAGTGGCAGCTGTTATTTATTGAAAAGACTTTGACTGGACAGATGTACATACGTAGGGAAACAAATAAGGGAACACATGACAGCACAAGTGTTCCTTTATTTTTTTCCAGGTTTCTTCATAAGCTTTGTGTAAAGAAATCTGGAAAAATATAAAGGAACACTTGTGCTTTCACGTGTTCCCTTATTTGTTTCCCCACGTATATATTTACAGTATACAGAAAAAGATTGCAAGACAGAAAACGTATAGATTTTCAATATAGATTTTTACAAGGGGCTTAACAACGTATACCCTCATCCATTGCTATTATCAAAACATATGGTTTGGTACTCTAAATCATAATATATTACTAAATCACATCATCACTGCAGCAAAAAGACACATCTACATATGTAGTACTAAGAATATGCATCCAAACACAACTTTATTTATAAAAACTCTGAAAGAAATATTCTTTGTGGAAAACCATATATACAAACAAAATAATAAAGTTGAACACTTCAATCATAAATTGGGCCTTCTCTTCCAAGTACTTTGATGAATTTAAAATGTATCCATATTTACCTGAGGTCATATTTCGTTTTTATTGACTTATATATGTTTATTATCATAATATTGACATGATGACCATTATCTATCTATATGTACAACACTTTTGTACATATGACATGGTAATCGTGGGAACCAATAAAAAAATCAGATTGGACGGAGTCAAATGTACATTTCTCAGTGTCAGAAACATCGGAAGTTTCAGTAAATAACGGCTTTGTCATGTCGCTTGTATATTTACAAGTATCTTGTGAATCTTCCCATCCCATTAATGTTATTGCTCAATAACCTGTACAAAACAACCTTAGCGTTAGGTTTGTCGTAAGACTATGTTAAGGTATGGGAGTTACGGTCAGCTTAGCGCTCAGATCCCTTTTGGACCACGGCACCCTGGTCGTTTTCTGTAAAACAAATATTTATAACGCTTGATTTCCAGGGAAAAAAAGACCAACGTATGCCGAAAACACGCTGTCGTTTACATGGGTAGGTGTATGCGGAGCAAAAGGATAACACGCTTATAAATGTCTGTTGGGAAAAGCAGGTTCCTATTCATCTAATTGCAATAGCTGAAATGTCAAGTACAAATATATATGTATCGAAAATCACCCAGCCTGCCTTTCATGCATATAATTCTTCTTTCTCATTTTGTATCTTAGTTATTTCAGTCATGTGAAAAAAAATTTGACAACAGATATTTAGTTGGAACACAAAGCCGTTGCCTACCTTTTCTTGTACCACATAAAATATCTATGGTATGCCGGTTAAAATTATTATTTTATATCAGCAGACGATGCACACCTGTTGTTGCTGCAGGACTGGAATATTTGCGGCTGTAGTCGTATGACTAAATTTATTTGTACGTGTTGCTTAAGTATATCACATCTGTGTAATACCACAATAGACATGGATAAACTATCAAACGATGCATCAAAGTATTTTGATTACATGAAAGAGAACGTTTCAGCTTTTTATTAAGTTATAACTTTTCTTTTGGGATTTTAACAGTCTATGGACAGGTTGACATGTCTCGAAACGGCTTGTTATTAAATATTGCTATTACTGCGACTACTAATGTGTGTGTGTTTACAGAATAGGCAAAAAGATTTAAGAAATAAAACGCACAAAGAAGCATAAAACTGTCAGTGAAACCATCCGCTTGAATACCAGATCGTGCAGCAGAGATCAATTTGCAACGGCTGTCAATGAACGTGGTGTCCTACATGACTAAGGGGGCGGTGGGGTAGCCTAGTGGTTAAAGCGTTCGCTCGTGACGCCGGTGGCCCGGGTTCGATTCCCCACACGGATACAATGTGTTAAGCCCATTTCTGGTGTCCCCTGCCATGATATTGCTGGAATATTGCTAAAAGAGGCGTAAAACAAAACTCACGCACTCACTCACTATATGACTGAGGGTATCTCAGTAACCCTGCGGCCCATGGTCAAGTGCCAGGCTGTCAGGAGTGTTGACCAACGCACTAGAAAACCTGTCACCTGCTATAAATTTCAGTCTGAGCGTCTGTATTGATTAAGTAATTGAAATTGACAACCATTTTGAGCATAACGGTTGCTGAAGCAATATTGATTATAACTGTTCCTCCCAAATGGAACGGGAAATAATTACCGTCAAACATGTGTGACGTTGTACGCAACAGTAACAATCCATTATGATGTTTCTTGGAAACAGCGCTTCGCCGGGAGATCTGCTTACCAATAATGGATATTTAGACAAATCGATATTGCCTTAGAGACAACATCAACATAAACAAGTTACGTGACGAGTCTAACCATCCACTTCTAAACAGGCCCTTTTCGCTGCCTCGGACGTATAAAAGAAAGGTATGCATTTTATTTTACGACATTGCGATTGTTTCTTAATCAGATTAAATGGCTATGTTTCTTAAATACATATGTGGCGTTGCATTAGATCTAGAGAACAGCTATGGCATAAAGTTTCAGCGAGGTGGACAAGATAGTAGGTAGCCAAGCTCCACCTTCATCAACAGTCCATGTTTTCAATTGTCACGTAATGCTGATGGAAATTTGATAAAAGTTTTTTCTTTCCATTCTTAACAACGCTAACACAGAAAGTTGATGATACAGTGCAAGTTGATATTGAAAACATAAAGACATTGGTTCTTTCATGCTGCGTATTTATTCATTCAGTAAATGTTACTTGTATAACGAGACGTTGTAACTTTATCTGTTTTAGCGGAGCTTATCACTGGATAGTTTATAAGCTCCACCATGCCCTGTCTGTGTATCAATATGAGTTACATACAACCTTACATGCTGCCTTACATAGGACAGTACTGTGTATCAGTATGAGTTATATGCTGCCCCACTTGATACAGTACTGTGTATCAATATGGGTTAAAAGCTTCCATACATGTCACGGTACTGTGTATCAATATGGATTATATGCTGTCTTACATGTCACAGTACTGTGTACCAATATGGGTTATAAGCTGCCTTACATGGTACAGTACTGTGTACCAATATGGGTTATATGCTGCCTTACATGCCAAGTATAGTGTATCAATATGGGATATATGCTGTCTTACATGGTAGAGTACTGTGTATCAATATGGGTTATATGCTGCCTTACATGTCACAGTACTGTGTATCAATATGGGTTATATGCTGCCTTTCATGTCACAGTGTATCAATATGGGTTAAATGCTGCCCTATATGGTACACTTCTGTGTATCAAAATGAGTTACATATAGTCTTACATTGTACACTAATGTGTATCAATATGGGTTAAATGCCGCCTTACATGGTACAGTACTGTATATCAATATGAGTTACATGCTGCCTTACATTTGACAGTACTGTGTATTAACATGGTTATATGCTGCCTTACACGTCACAGTACTGTGTATAGATATGGGTTATATGCTGTCTTACATGTCACAGTACTGTGTGTCAATGTGGGTTTTAAGCTGCCTTACATGATAGAGTACTGCGTATCAATATGGGTTATATGCTGTCTTACGTGTCACAGTACTGCGTATCAATATGGTTACATGCTGCCTTACGTGGTACAGTACTGTGTATCAATATGGGTTATATGCTGCCTTACATGTCACAGTACTGTGTGTCAATGTGGGTTTTAAGCTGCCTTACATGATAGAGTACTGCATATCAATATGGGTTATATGCTGTCTTACATGTCACAGTACTGCGTATCAATATGGTTACATGCTGCCTTACGTGGTACAGTACTGTGTATCAATATGGGTTATATGCTGCCTTACATGTCACAGTACTGTGTGTCAATGTGGGTTTTAAGCTGCCTTACATGATAGAGTACTGTGTATCAATAGGGGTTTATTAGAATCCCACCGGGAGGATTGCCTGGGCGTGGGGCAGACGGTCATACGAATCGACATGCCCAAGGAAGGCGACAATGTCCTAAAATTCGACAACCACAAGAATCAGATGCCAGTGCCTTATGTCATGTACGCCGACTTCGAAACCTTGATCAAAAGCGTTGACATCGGGCCGACCGCCAACACGCACAAACAGGAGCACGAGGTCTGTGGGTTCGGATACGTGGTCGTCCGATGTGATGGGGAATCGAAAGCTCCCGTAGTGTACAGGGGTCCCGACGCGGCTGAAAAGTTTCTAAAGTGCTTGTAATGGGAAGAGAAAGCCATCAGGAAGAAATTGTACAATGTCGTTCCCATACGTATGACCAAAGCCGACCGGCGAGGCCACCGCTGCAGCACTCACTGCCATGTGTGCGATGGCCCGCTGAACGGCGATTCGATGAGAGATCACTGCCATGTCACTGGTGAGTACAGAGGCGCTGCTCACAGCGCGTGCAACCTCAAGCTCAGAATCAACCCCAAAATGATCAACATCCCCGTGGTCTTCCACAACTTGAGAGGGTACGACTCTCACTTGATCATGCAGGCCATCGCGAGGGTCGACGGCAACCTGACGTGCATCCCCAACCACATGGAGAGATACATCTCCTTCTCCCTGAACGGCCTGAGGTTCATCGATTCAGTTCAGTTCCTGCTGTCGTCTCTTGACAGTTTGGTATCACTGATCGATACACCGACGCCGAGACTCGGCCCCTGCTGATGAGGAAGGGTGTTTACCCCCTACGAGTGCATGTATGGCTGGGCCAAATTCGCCGAGACCCGACTACCCGCCATCAACCGGTTTTACAGCAACCTGACCGACTCGACAATCACCCAAGACGATTACTCGCAAGCGATTAACGTATGGAATAAACCGGACTGCAAGAATCTGGGCGATTACCACGACCTGTACTTGAGAACGGACGTGCTCCTGCTGGCTGACGTGTTCAAGACGTTTAGGAGGACGTGTTTCAAGCAGTATCAACTCGACCCTGCATGGTACTACACCAGCCCCGGTCTCTCTTGGGGTGCCTTGCTGAAGAAAACCGGAGTTAAGCTGGAATTGCTCACCGATTATGACATGCACCTGTTCATCGAGAAAGGATTGCAAGGCGGGATCTCCATGGCTGCCAAACAACTCTAGCAAGCCCACCACCCACATCTTCTACCTCGATGCCAACAACCTGTACGGCTGGGCCATGAGCAAGTATGCCTGAGGTAGACGTCATGAGCATACTGCCGGATTCGGAGAAGGGTTACATACTCGAAGTGGACTTGGAGTATCCAACAGCATTACACAAGTCACACAACAGCTTCCACCTGGCTCCAGAACGTTTGACGGTAGACCTGGACTGGATGTCTGACTACCAACGGAACCTGCTGGATGGACGGGTGGCCACCGTTGAAAAACTCGTACCCAACTTGATGACCAAAACCAAGTACATCGTTCACTACCGCAACCTGCAGCTGTACCTGTCGCTGGGTATGAGGCTGACTAAAATTCATAGGGTGCTCAAGTTCACCCAAAGCCCCTGGATCGAGCCCTACATCAGAATGACTTCAAGAAGAACCTCTACAAGCTCATGAACAACTCAGTGTTCGGTAAGACGATGGAGAATTTACAAAAACGCGTGACCATGAAGCTGGTTTGGTCGAAAGAGGAAGACAAGCTCAGGAAACTGATAGCCAGCCCGACATTCAACCGGAGCAAGATATTCACAAACGACCTGGTGGGCCTGCACATGAGGAGTGAGTGAGTTTAGATTTACGCCGCACTCAGCAATATTCCAGCTATATGGCAGCGGTCTGTAAATAATCGAGTCTGGACCAGACAATCCAGTGATCAACAGCATGAGCATCGATCTGCGCAAGTGGGAACCGATGACATGTGTCAACCAAGTCAACGAAACTGACCACCCGATCCCGTTAGTCGCCTCTTACGACAAGATAGTCGCCTTTTTATGGCAAGCACATGGGTTGCTGGAGACCTATTCTACCCCGGATCTTCACGGGTCTGCACATGAGGAAAAGCCACATCAAATTCAACCTACCCGTCTACGTGAGCATCCTCGACCTCTCCAAGCACCTGATGTAGGACTTTTACTACAACGAGCTCAAGATGCAGTACGGCGACAGTGCTGTACACGGACACGGACTCCCTGCTGATGGAGATTTGAACCGAAGACGTGTACGAGGACATGGCAAAACACATCCATTTATACGACACCAGTGACTACCCGAAGGACCATGCCATGCACAGCACGGTTAACAAAAAGGTCCTCGGTAAAATGAAGGACGAGTGTGCCGGCACGCCGATCGCCGAGTACATAGGCTTGAGGCCTAAGATGTACTCTATCCTGAAGGCCGACAACGGTGAGATCCGAAAAGCGAAGGGTGTCAAGAAGTACGTGGTGAAAAACTCATCAAACACGCCAGATTCAAGGAAACCCTGTTCAAGACCCGTACCTTCAGGCATCAGATGAACACGCTGAGAAGCGATGAACACAAGATATACAGACTGACGATAAACAAGACGTCCCTATCACCGATGGACACGAAGCTTTGGATAGCCATCGACGGGATCAACATGTACGCGTATGGGCATGAGAAAATTGAACCAAGAGCATAGGTGTATATATATGATGTCACGGAACCAAAGAAAGTTTGAGGCTATTTACTACAGCCCGCGTGGGTACTGGAAAGGAGCTAGTGCCATACACAAGCTTGCCAAAATGGCGAGAGTACCCCCAGACGAGACCAAAGCGTGGCTTGAAAAACAAGCCCTGTGGTAGATCTATTTACCGGAACCACGCTACGTGCCTCGAAGAAAGTTCGGCATTGCCGTACCCAATAGGCCGACCTCCTGTTCCTACCCTACGACAGGAGGTACAAGTATGCCCTAACCGTCGTTGACGTTGCCAGCCACTACAAGGAAGCCGAGCCCTTAACCGTAAAAGATGCGGCCCAAGTAGCCCGCGGATTCGAGCGCACATACAAACGCAGTCCGCTGACATGGCCTACAGAGCTGCAAGTCGACTCCAGGCGGGATTTCATGGGTGCCGTGTTTTAACTGCTAGCCCATGGGAAGGAGAAACAGATACCCGACAGGGCCCTCGTGAGGTACCTCTACCAGCCAGGGTAACATGATGGGGACACTCGGAAACGAGCAACCGATCCGACATGGTCAGTCAAAACTTACAACATAGATAAAGTGGACATCAAAGCCGACGAGCCGAACTTGTACTACTTGAAAGATGGGCCAGAGAGAGGTTTCGTCAGAGAGGAATTATTGATCATACCATACGGCACAATGTTACCCCCCAAGCAAAATATTTAACACTTACCTTGTCGAGTGATCCCAATGGTATCCTGTAACCAGCTCATTCACATTAAACTGTTTCCTCGAGGTCAACACGACATAGAGCTATCATAGTGTCAAGTGATCAGGAAAGTGTTGGTTCGCGGTCATAGTGACCAGGAAGTGAACTGGGGGTTCACACCTGGTATATACAATAGCGGAGAGAGATACGGGGCTGACAAAAGCTTTATTTCATAAATGAAGCCTTACAGAGTCTTTTGTTGGACTTGATCTCATACCGCTACTGTATATACTACTACATGGAAAAACACATCTCCTTCTCATTAAACGGTCTGAGATTCATCGACAGTATTCAATTCTTGCTGTCGTCTCTCGATAGTTTGGTCAAGGCCAACGACCCGAACAACTTCCACATCACCAATCAATACAGCGACGCCGAGACTCAACCTGTATTAATGAGGAAAGGCGTTTACCCCTATGAATACATGTACAGCTGGGCCAAGTTCAACAAGACACGACTGCCTCCAATCAACCGATTTTACAGCAACTTGACCAACTCGACCATCACCCAGGACGATAACTCGCACGCGATTAACGTATGGAATAAACTGGGCTGCAAGAATCTGGGTGATTACCACAGCCTGTACTTGAAAACAGATATACTCCTGTTGGCCCACAGAGCTGCAAGTCGATCCCGGATGGGAGTTCATGGGTGCCGTGTCACAACTGCTGGCCAAGCACGACGTCCAAGTCAGGCGTGGCAGGGCTGGAGCTCATCGCAGTCAAACCATATTTGAGAGATTCAATAGGACTTTTGCCGAGCACTTATTCAGACATCAGTACACACAGGAAATAAGTCTAAATAAACCCAACACCGAATGGGTCGCGCGGCTACCCCAAGTGGTGTCGGCTATCAATCACGAAATCACTCGTCTCACCGATAAAAAAACAGCCAAAGCTATTAAATTGAAATCAGTGAACGCTGAATCAGCTGCACCATCGCGTGGGAAAGAGAAACAAATACCCAGCCGGGTGAACAGATGCCTTGGTACACATTGTTATCGTGTTCGCCCTTGCTTTTCCAGAGATCCATGTAACAGTAAAACACGTCGCGGTCATCTATACTCAACACCTCGCTGCCGCTGATTTTGATGGTGGTTTTCTTGACAATGGCACGACCGACATTTCGCACGAGCTCGAGTTTGTCATTGTCGGAAGTCAACGCAATGCTAAACGCCAGTCGACCATTCCGGGAATGATAAGGTCATTCTTGCCCAGCCTGGGGAATCGAACCAACAGCGTTTGTTTTTATCTATCTTGCTCGGTTATTGATGATGGTCACTGACTGACGCACGGCTTTGATGCCGAGAGGCTCTCTTAATCTTCGGAAAGGATCTAACTTTCTTCCGTATTGGGACATTGTTATATACATGAAATATATAAGTTTAATATAATTAATATAATGGATGACATTCCGATGGATGATTTGGCTGCTGGTGCGTTCGATGATGGGGATTACGTTGAAGACACCTCATTCATGGGCGACACCATTAGCAACGAACTTTTGAAGCAGACCGTAGACGAATATTACAACACATAGAGGCGAGATAAAAATTACGTCGAACCGTTGGGATGAGACTATTCCAAGTTCAAAATTGATGACGGGACGTTGCGATTGAAAGCTCATCCAGAGATCGATCTCATGAGCAAACACACGAGAAAACCGTTTGCCTTGTCTATGCTAGCCAGTCATCATGGTGGTCAACTGATCCACGATGAATTAAACATATGTGATTACGGCGGTGCACAACCCAAACAACTTCTACCTAAAGTAGTTTGTGATCTGCGAACTCAGCAATCTCGGAGACGTACCCCAATGTGCTAAAGAAACGTCGGACAGCATCGAAACACTATTAGACACATACTGGAATGAGGCTTTGCCGGGATTCGAATTTCTTGTTCGAGAACTGCGAGGGTTAGACAGGGCATTGCGAACCGTTCGTGGAGAACTCGTGAACAATATGTGGAAACTGAACAAAATCGATGAGCACATCGCTCGTGAGAAAATAAAACTCAGTCAGGTCCAAGTCGATGAGTCTCTGAAAACCATCATCGAAAAACGGTTGCGTGACTTACAAGACGAGAGACGGACTCGATTGGAATCCGCTTCCTCGAATCGAGAACAGCTTCTGTCCCAAATCAGCCGCATGCGGGAAACCATCGATCGAGTCCCGAACGAAGACACCACGTTGGCCGACAGGATCCGAATTTTGTTCATAGAGCAAGGGATCACCATCGCCAGCGTTCTTATGGCATTGGGCTTCATCATATATTCACGAAATATCATGAACTTGTTAATAGATAATTGCTTATGTTGTCCACACACGGGCGGACTGAGGCAAATACGGTTGTATCCTCCTTTGCCAGTCCGGCAAGTTGTTTATTTAAAGAGTAAGAGGATTATGAGGCATGGTCGACTGGGTTTGTTTACTCAACTAATACCACATGGCATTCACTAGTAGATTGAATGATTTTGGTTCAGTTATTACATGGCTGTTCTCCATACATCTCCATGTTCCCCATACATCTCCATGTATCTAGAACAGCAATAACTAACAATGCTGTTTTACTGTAAGGAATATTAGGTGCCATGTTATGGCAAGTATTCACTTTATCCCATGATGGCAAATGCTTTGGTGAACGTTCAGTTTGTTCCAAATGGTCGCGGTGGTAGAAGTTTAGTGTATCAGGGATATAAGTTTCGAATTATGACTAGCAAGCGTGATACAACACATTTGAGATGGTGCTATCCTTCTTGTTGAGCAACGATTAACACCAGGGACGACTTGATCACAAGCTACAGAGACCATGTCCTTGTCGACCTCAAGGATACAGTGAGAAAAGACAACAGGCCATTCACACAGGTGACACAAGTGGACTATCATTTGTATTTTTATGTTCGCATACATAAATTGATAAATTACTAATGACAATCATACCTAACACATAACACTCATAAATGTACACAATATTTAGCATTATGTAACTGCGTAAATATAAGAAATTGATAAAGTACTAATCACAATCACAATCATACATCAGCAATGTCCACAATGATGGTTCATACACAATTGAAGTCCAACAAGATGAGAAACAGCATCTCCATATTCTATCATGGTCTTCCTTCCTGCTTGAAGATAGTCTTTTTCTCTCTGTAGTCTATCGTTCAATTCTCTGTATTTTCGTTTTCTGGGTCATTTATGTATGCTGAACATAAAAATACAAATGATAGTCCGCTTGTGTCTTTCTTGGCTTGGTCATCTCCTCAGTCATCCCCCACCATTGTCTTGCTTATTAAAATGGTCTGGTGATCCTCTTAATCCCTAAACAAACAACTTGCCCGACTGGCAAAAGAGGAACATCCCGCAAAAACAACCCAAATGAATTCCTTCTTTAATAAATTATAGAGTAACTAATTAATTTTGTCATTTACAATAAAAGGTGACTAAATGTTTAATACATTATTCACTTTCGATCACGTTGAATAATTTCTGGAGAAATCACTACACAAGTTCATATCACAGATGATTCCAGAGACAAATAGTTTATGATTTTTAGTTTATGAAAGGCATTAAAGGGCTACTGATCCAGAGCAATTAATGTTTCTCGCCAACAGTCTAATTACGAAACCTAGCTGCAAACTGGTCAGCCCCTGCTCCCTCGACTGTGACGGATGCGGGGAATGGGCTACTGTCCGCCTTGGCGGAATTTCTTCAACCTAATCAGTGGGACATTAGGAAGGGTGGATATCCATCAGATGCCGTTATTTGAAACTATCCCCGGTAGTTCTTGTCTGATTGTAATCAAGTATCCCAGCAGTGTAGGCTTTTTTCAGATTTTCAAATGTTTGGATGGTTTAATGACTGATCCAATTTGATCCTATTTCTGTGCTTTTTAACTCAATATTTAATCATGTAAAAATATGATGTCTATTACGTATGCTATGATATCAAAAACACACATTTGATATATTTGAATCCATGAACTAAACAACCGCACTTTATCATTGCAAAATAAATCTGAAATTTTACTTAGGTACATAGGTATATACAGTTTTTAACTAAGTACACAGCAAATGCTTATATATATTTCTTCTGTGACAATGAAGTCTGTTCGTATCCTCAAAGCCGTGTCGGCCCATAAGTTTTTTTTCAGGCAATCAAACTTGCATGCAATACAGCGATTACTACTCTCTTGCTGTAACCCTTGTTTGATGGGTTAAACCTACACAAATGTGATTTGTCATCATTCACTTGATGGTCAGTCAATGAATTTATTAAAGGTATAATTAGTGATAACACCACTCAGATTACCCGACAAAGGTTCCAATTTGACATTTCTTGTGCCTGGAGTAAATGCTCATCATTATAAATTGTGGTCTGATGTGGCAAATGTATTACATCTAATGTAATATACGCATGGAAGTGCAGTAAGAGGAATTATCAGCTGAGTTACAAAACAAACATCGATTAAAGGATTAACCGATAACACGCTGATTGATTAATTGATTTTATCCTGTACAGCGGATTTGTAAAAAGGTAGTGTTTATGTATGTAGATTTACTCATCTATACTGAATACACCCTTCAAAGGATTAACCATAGATTGTTCATTATTGGTTAACTAAAGTACTTATTTTAAGAATGGGGGTTTACTTCCCAAGCAACGAAGCAGCCGGGATACCGAAGCCAGTCAGAGCGGCTGGGTGTGCACTCAAGTGTAACGGCTGGTTCATTTGCAGATGCCTTCACGGCTAATATTTTGAGATGTTGGGTTTTGTAAATACATGCTCATTTTTTGTGTATAACATTTTGCAATCAACAGACATCATAACATGTCATGTGTTCAAGTATCACACCTGCCTGTCTGTGTAATTACATTATGTGACAGAGACCGAACTCGGGCCATAAATCAATGCATTTTGTTTATGGTGTATAGCCTGATTGGTGTTAAGTTCAAATTGCATGTGGTCAGTGATAGCAGCTGTGTATTGAATATTGTCATTAGCAGACAGGTAGGCAGACACACGGGTGTCAATAAAACAAGAGTGAGTGAGTGAGTGAGTTAATATTTATCGTCACATCGGCAATATTTCAGCCATATCGTGACGAGAACATTTTATAATTATATTAAAGATGAACAAAGTTAGAAATTAAAAAACCTGTTGACGAAGAACAGTAAAACTACTAGTGTATCACAGATATCCATTTAAAACTAGCAATTAAATCTAAAATATTGGAACTAGAAATGACCATACAATATAAAAACAGGCTGCAGATTGCTAACTACTGAAGGTAGATCACCATACTAGGGACCATGGGGACTTACAGTACATTTGCTTCCTGCATGGACCCTAGCTGGATTTACACCATCCCTTCAGCCGTCAGCAAGTTTAGACAAATTAGCCATAAGTTAAAATAACACATATTCTACGATTAAAACTAATGGTAAGTTTAAATTTAGCTTGAATGTTTTGGGACTTACATACCCCCACAGGAGGACAATAGTTTTACAATGCTTCAACCCCCCTGTGAGGATACAGCCACTAACAATCTCAGCTGCTCAACTAAACTACCAAACTAAACTAAATATTTATCTATTTACAATTCATTCAACAAATCTAATTCTTTTAAAAATGCAATAACTAAATGAGAACTGATATTATTAAAAAGATCCTTCATCGTTCGTGATTTGAAATAGGTATCCCTTGTGATGGAATATTCAATACAGTCAAGCAGGATATGCTTGACTGTGATTCTCTCATCACAAGGGATACAAAACGGAGGATCCTCACCTTGCAATAGGTACTCATGAGTATACCTTGTATGGCCAATACGACATCGTCGTATGATGACCTCTTCAAATCTGGACTGAGAACCCAAGTAGGTGTAACCAATGTAGGGTTTTATTGCATGTAATTTATTGATACCTACCTGGGCGTCCCACTTCTTTTGCATCAGATCACGGATGTAAGTTCCAATGTTAGCTTTGCAATCAGAGTATGGGATAAGAAGTGGTGTCACAGATTTGTTGAGTGCTGCCTTTGCAGCAAGATCGGCCATTGTATTCCCAGAAATGCCAACGTGGCTGGGTAACCAACAGAGGACGATGTCGCATTGGCCAGTAGCAAGCTCATTGTACAATTCAATAATTTCTAATAAAAGTGGATGTTTGCAAGAAAGATTTTTAATAGCCTGAAGACAAGAAAGAGAATCGGAAAAGATGATGTATTGCTTATATTTACGATGTTTTTTAATATACTTAAGAGCTGTTAATATGGCGTTAGCTTCTGCTGTGAAAATAGAGCTGTTATGTGGTAGTCGAGAAGAAATTGTTCGGGATCCAATGACAGTGGCACATGCCACCGCGCCACCATCCTTGGACCCATCTGTAAATAGGGATTTGTAAGTATTATATTTATTTTTTAATTGATTATATTCTTGTTTATATTGTAATTCATTAGTTACAGATTTCTTAAACTTTGTCAGAGTTAGGTCAACTTCAGGCCTCACCAGTTGCCAAGGAGGAGAAGACAGAAGACGGGAAGGAGCGATATTTTCCAGCTCAATGCCGGCAGCAGAAAGGAATGGTTTAATTCTGTGCCCAAGAGGCGGAACAAGAGAAGGCTTTTTGTTGTATAAATCCTCATATAGGGGATTGAAAACACAGTTAAATGCAGGGTTAGACTCGCTAGAATATAGTTTAGTAATGTATTGTAAAGATAATTTGATACGACGTTGTGTAAGAGAAGGCTAATCTGCTTCAACATATAGACTATCAATAGGAGAGGTTCTAAAGGACCCAAGACAAAGTCTTAAGCCTTGGTGGTGGACACAATCAAGTAGTTTTAGGTTGCTTTTGCAGGCTCCACCATATACGATGGAGCCATAATCAAGTTTCGAGCGGACCAATGATCGATATAGGTGGAGGAGCGTAGCTTGATCCCCTCCCCACTTTGAGTTGGAAACAACTTTCAACAAATCGAGTGCCTTCAGGCATTTGGCTTTAAGTGATTTAATATGCGGCAAAAAGGTTAAATGGGAGTCGAAAATTAGACCCAAGAATTTGGCCTCCTTAACAACTTTGATGGGAGTGCCATTTAAAGATAGTTCTGGATCCTTATGGGGCTTATATTTTCAACAAAAGTGCAGACAATTTGTTTTGGACTTGGAAAACTTAAAGCCGTTTTCAAGACACCATTTATCTATTTTATTTAAACACAACTGCAATTGCCGTTCAATAGTATGCATATTTTTACCACGACAAGAAATATTAAAATCATCCACAAAAAGTGATCCATCAATTGAATCGTTTAAAACCTTCGATAAACTGTTGATCTTGACACTAAACAAGGTGACAGACAAAATACTGCCTTGCGGGACACCCTGATCCTGATTGTAATGGTCAGACAGGGTTGAACCCACTCGGACTTGAAATTGCCTGTTATTTAAAAAGTTGGATATAAATTGAGGCAAACGGCCTCGTAATCCAAAGTCATATAAATCTTTTAAAATCCCATGTTTCCATGTCGTGTCGTATGCTTTTTCTAAATCGAAAAAGATCGACATTGCATGCTGTTTATTAATTTTGGCATTTTTTACAAAAGACTCTAAACGTACTAAATGATCGATGGTACTACGGTTTTTACGGAAACCACATTGTATATTAGTTATAAGGTTATTGGTTTCCAAGTACCAAACAAGTCTGTTGTTGATCATACGTTCCATGGTTTTGCAAACGCAGCTTGTCAGTGAAATTGGTCTATAATTAGAGGGATCAGTATGATCACGTCCAGGTTTAGGTATGGGAACAATAATAGCATCGCGCCACGATGAAGGAAAATTTCCAGATGTCCAAATGGCATCAAATATATGTAAGAGCGTCTCTAAACATGATTCAGGTAAGTGCTTCAGGAGTTGATAATGTATGTTATCAGCCCCGGAAGCAGTATCATGAGCCTGATCAAGAGCAGTATGTAGCTCATGTATCGAAAAGGTTTCATTGTAGTCTTCCCCATTTTCTGAATTGAAATTAATAGATTTCTTTTCTTGCTGTTTTTTGATATTTTTGGAATTCAGGTACATAATTAGATGAGGAAGAATGTTTGGACAACGTCTCACCAAGTTTATTTGCAATATCTGATTTATCAGTCAATAACTGATTACCATCTTTGAGATGGTGAATGCTAGATTTAGAGCCCTTACCCTTGATTTTCTGGATCATATTCCACACCTTTGATATAGGTGTGCGCGAATTGATTCTTGAGACATAGTTTCGCCACGATTGGCGTTTACTATGCTTGAAAGTACGCCGTGCTTTAGCGTTAATAATTTTAAATTTGTCTAAATTGTGGACCATAGGATGGCGACGGAAGTAATGTTCAGCTTTCTTCCGTGCCTTTCTAGCCTGTTTGCATTCGTCTGTAAACCATGGTTTTCGGACGTGAGGAATGCAGAGGACTTTGGGATACACTCGTCAGCTATGTCATTTAGTTTATCTGAAAAACATTTTATGGCATCAGGAATATCATTGAAAAGTTCAGGTTTCAGTTGGTCAGCACACAGAATTTCATAAAAAGGCCAGTTAGCCTTTTTAAAATTCTATCTTGATGATGGAGGAACGTCAGATGGATTCACAGGTGTTAGTATCGTTGGAAAATGGTCACTTCCACAAAGGTCGTCGTGGACTGACCATTTAAATTCACTCAAAAGGTTAGAGTCCGTAATAGACAAATCAAGAGCTGAATATGTTCCTGTGCCAGGATGTAAATAAGTATTTGCACCGTCATTATAAATGCATAAGTCATTATTTGAAATGAAATCCTCGAATAATTTACCTTTGGTGTTGGTAGTAGTACCACCCCAGAGCGGGTTGTGGCCATTTAAATCCCCCATGATTAAACAGGGTTTAGGTAGTTGATCATAGAGAGCTTGCAGCTCAGTCAGTTGAACACCCGATGATGGCGGGATGTACAGAGAACACAAAGTAAAAGCAACCTGTAATGTAAGCCGAATTGCAATGACTTGGAGATTTGTTTTAAGCGGAACTGGGCTATGTATAACATTGTTCCTTACCAGAATAGATGCTCCACCAGAAGCTCTATCACCAGGGGGAGAAAAATAGTGATACGCATTAAACTGACGGAGTTCAAATTTATCTGTCTGTTTCAGATAAGTTTCTTGTATGCAAAATGCCGACGGTTTTAAATCTTGGACTAATAACTGTAAATCATTTAAATTAGTCCTAATTCCTCTACAATTCCATTGAACTATGGGTGAACACATCATTTTTTTTAGGCGGATGAACAGGAGATCTACCCCTCACCTGCCTTGAGGGTGACAAGCTATGTGTCCTACCATGGCTATGGTTAGAC